GAAGTACACGTAACCGTCTGTTCCACACCACGCTTGCACTGTTGAGTTGCAAGAAGGGGCTCATCCCAACTCTTACCCCTCGTGGGAAACTTTACATCGACATTTGATTGTTTGTGTTTGCCTTTGACAACTGCAATGGCCCTACCGTTCTGAAGGTATAAACGATGAGAATCGTGAAATACACGTGGCCCAGCGGAATAGCATGTAAGCCTTTGAACTCGTGCCTCCACAGTTCAGATCCCGCTGAGCATGCGAGGTTAGGTCAAACGCCGGGCCGGGCGAGAAGTGCTTTTAACGCGTCATGACAACATCAAGCGTTGTATGCAGAAAAGCTCGGCCATTTTACGATTTCCTTCAAATGGCATAAAATATCCAAAGACATCCGCAATTCATCAGGACTAGATTAACCCAAAATTAAGCGTAGTTATGAAGACCAAGATTGTGTGACCTCTGTTTTGGTCGCAATCTCATTTCGATGTCTAGAAGTGGTCTCACCTCGTTTTCGCAACTTGGTCGTGTTGTCAGGACGACCTAGTTGGAAGGACCTTGTCCGACGTCCTCTGCTAACATAGTTATCATTATTCCAGGCATAACCATTTCGGCAGAAAGTTGGTCAAGGGATTGAGTTCACTTGACTCGTTGACGAGCTGTAGTCTCGTGCTGAAAATGGCAAGACTCACTGACGATGCTGACTACGATGTCTGCGAAACTTCGGACAAAGCGCATCCAACCTGGTCGCCATGACGACACGAGCAAGTTGAGTAAACGAGGTCCTGCCAGTTGCAATCCAAGTTTGTTGGTTTGATCTCCTTTTGGCAACCTCGAAGAATTTGCCTCCCCCACCTCCTCTCCATTGCAGTCATGCAACCTTACAACATCAGACCGATGACTCGGTACATTCCCAGACGTTTCACTGGCAGCATTCAGCGCGAAGTGCCAGGCTTAAGAGTGAGCAATGCGTCAGAGGATTGCGTTTCTCATTCACGGGGCAGACCACACAAACCAAGTTGGTACAGCCCAATTAAACCTCAAACAATTCGAAGGTCACCGCTTCTTGGTCTTCATAGCAACCTTCATCTAGGTCTCTGACAATACGACCAGGTAGCAAAAACTAAAGCAAGCCACTGCTATACAACGAGAGGACACTGTGACCATAAAAAAGACCACACACTCTTAGCCTTCACACATTTTATTAGACGAAAAAATTTTAATTGTGTAACTTTTAAATTATCTCATAACCATGAGCACCAGCCTTATGTACAAGAAAGGATAAAAAACTTCTTTGTCTTATTTTTCGAATTAAGTATTGTTTTTCGTGTCTATGAGGTGTATTCACCCAATTTCGTTTAAGGTGATGAAGGACTGAAATTCAATGGAAACGTCAGCTCAACTCATAGCATTGTGGGAAAATTCTTCTTTTACCAGTCCTTCATCACCTTAAACAAAATTGGGTGAATACATATCATATTTCTTTGTCTTAGTTATCATTTCTCCGAAAGAATGCCCTTAAATTTCTCTATCCTTCATTCCATTGCAAAAAATAGACAAACCTATGAAAAGGGATGGAATAAAGGCCATGCTAAAGAGATATATACAGAAATTTCTAGTCGCTGTGAGGCAGGCTGGCGAATTCGAAGCCAGCCATATGATTTTTCGTTAAAGAGGGGCTGAGTCTAAATAGACCAATTTATTCGGATAGATTAAATATTAAAGTTGAGGCAACACTCGGAGAAAGCTAGTGTTGGATTCATAAAGAAGTAACGTCGGTGGGTATCAGACTTTCAAACTGAGGGTCTAGGGTTCGAGTCTATATTCGGGCGCTTTTTTAGGAATGTTCTAAGTCTACCGTTCCATATTTTGATAAGCGTTGGCGAATGCGGACAAGGTCTCTAATTCTACTGCCAAGTTGCAAACACTATTTAAAGCCATTTTCATCTTTACCCATTTACTTGCCACACTTTTTACATCCATTTTGTTAAATGTGATTTTATTTATTCATTTACCTTGATTCCATAATCCTCTAGTCTGCAACTTATTTGATTTTAATTCACCATATCTGGTGTTACCTAGCAAGCACGAATTCGGCCATTTTAGCTTTCTCGACCCATAAGCACTAACAAAGTTTTTACCTTCTAGGGAAGGTGTGTTATTAATCTCCCGATCATGACTTACCATTTTCTAGATAGTTCGCAATATTTTTTCGAAAGCTTGCAAGACGGTTGTTCAATTCTCAATATAGCCCTAAAGAGTGGTTTTACTAAATCATCTATTTTATTTTAGTTAGATTATTTACATCTTAGTCCAATCACAAGTCAGCTGTGATAACTCTTCATCATTATATGATTACTGGCAATTAAGGTTATCGGAGGAGGAGGAGGCGATTTTTGAAGTGACTGAACCTGCTTCTTCTCAACGCGTCAATGCCTATCAAAGCGTCCGAGGTTGAAGGAGAGCACGGAGAAGAGAACATTTCACTTATGCAGGCCACTTCTAAAAGCCTGAATGCTTCTGTATGGCCAAGTATCCCTTGTGAAGACGAAAAGTCGATGAAAGTTATTCGTCACTCTGCTATAGTTCAGAGTTAAGAAGTTCATAGAAAATCTTAGACTGCAAGGACCAATGGTTGGAAATCTGGAATGAGACTTCAGATCTAATTTCGAGTTGTCTCGCAGCTCTGTTTGCCGAAAAATTGACATTTCTTTCACCAGCGATACCAATTAAAAAGGCTCATCGTAAACACAAAATAATTGCAGATAAATGCTTTAAGCCAACATGAGTCATTTACATGCTTTGCAGTTTTCTGTCTTGCAACTCCTGGCGAGGATTCGAGCCCAGCATGCGCTGATTCACAGCATTCCTTCAGCCACATAACACTGGAGTCGGTGAGTACTACGGACAGCTTCGGAACATTCTCGAAAACAGTTATAGTCCAACAGCCGCTGCCAGAACTTGAAAATAATGTCAATTCCATTTGTTCCAGGCGCATGGTGAACTTGCACACATTCAAGTATGAAAGAGAACTGACCAAATCTTTATAAGTTTTTACTTCTTAATATGTGAAGCATAAAGGGCATGAAGTCTTCTGGGTTTGTTCTCTTTAGTCGCAGACTATTACTTGAGCTCATCACTATTTTGCCCATAGTTAATTGGGAGAAAAGTTTTTATTTCGTGTATACGAAGAATAAGGGAGTTTAATTGAATATATGAAGACCAAGATGTTGTCGCCTCTGGTATGGTCGCAGTCTACTTTAGATTTATAGAAGTGGGTTGACCTCGTTTTCGCATGTTGGTCTTGTTGTCATGGCGACTATGAGGAACACACCTAGTCCGAAGTCGTCTGCCATAATAGTTGTCATGATTCCCAGCATCTGACCGTGGACTTGGTACATTCTCAAACGTTTCGTCGGCATCGTAGTCGGCATCATCAGACTTGTCTCCTTGACTAGTTCGTAGCTTGATGCGGAGAATGTAAAAGCTCACTGATGATGCCGACTACGATGCCGGCGAAACGTTTGAGAATGTACCAAGTCCATTGTCTGGTGCTGGGAATCATGACAACTACTATGGCAGACGATTTCGGACTAGGTGTGTTCCACATAGTCGCCTTGACAACAAGACCAATATGCAAAAACGAGGTCAACCCACTTCTATAAATCGAAAGTAGACTCGACCATACCAGAGGCCACAACATCTTGGTCTTCATATATTCAATTAAACTCTTTTATTCTTCGTATACACGAAATAAAAACTTTTCTCCCAATTAACTATGGGCAAAATAGTGATGAGCTCTTGTAATAGCCTGCGACTAAGGAGAACAAACGTTTCAGCTAGCCTTCAATATCACCATTAAAGTGTAGTTTGTGGGGCGATGTAGCGTCTTCTTTTTGACATACCCACTTCTGGCCCAGCCTAGGACGGAGGATTCACGCCTGCTGGTCTCGAACCTCTCGCCAACATACACACTCATTCTCCACTCAACCCTAATTGGAATCATACAGATAGAGGTGGACTGCCTTTTCGAGGTGAAGCCTCAACTATGAGGCCTTAGAGAAAAAATGGTCAGGCAAGCATACGACAGGTTGTGCCCTTTTGTACCACTCAGACAGGCTAGCCACTTGTCTCCGTGGCATGGCAACCAAGGAAATCGACGTACCGTTCTACCCCTTCGTCCCTTCGTGGCTCGCCTCTCCTCAGCCCGCCCTCCGTCCGACTGACTCGTTTCACTTCGTTATTACACAATTGACAATAATTGAATGGTCTCACTTGTTCAATTGTTACGTCACTGTTGAGCACATCAACTGCCCAAGCGGACGGTGACAACAACTGGCCATCGAGGCAAGACTGCTCGCCTGACTCCTTCGTGGGTGTGAGTCGTCAGCCTCAAGAGCCGCTCTTTGTTCCCATGACTTGGGACCGAGGACAGGGCACATGTGGGAATACGGTCGCAGTTGGACGACAGTCACACGCTCGTCCACCAACGTGTGAACGTTTGGACAACAGAAAGTGTTGTGCGAAAAGGCAGCAATTGAAAGAGGAATTAAGGCCTCGAAGTATAATCGGATTTCCGAATGGGGCTGATGAATCGGGTCGCTTTTAGGAAAAACCATTATACAAATTCTTTGTCTCTGTGGCTCTCGACTCTGTCTTCGTCTTCTCTAATATGCGATGTATTCACCCAATTTCGTTTAAGGTGACGAAGGGCTGGTAGAAGAAGAATTTTCCCACAATTATATGAGTTGAGCTGACGTTTCCATTGAATTTCACATAGCCTTGCTTTCCCAAAAATTGGTCTCATTCAAGCACCAGTGGATTGCAGTTTCGACCTCGCATCGGTCTTATCAACACTCTCAGCGGGAGTCGAACCGCGACTGTGCAGGATGGGAGCTTGACACAATAACCACTCGGCTACACTGCCACGAGCGCCTATTTGGTCACAGTGAAAGTGTGAATTTTCAAGGAAGGCCAGGCCTTTTTTGCCATTTCATATTCTTTTGGTGGAATTGTCGATGAAGCAAACGTATATCTGCTATCACAATCGACTAGTATAATTTATTTTTCGAATTAAGTATTGTTTTCGTGTCTACCAGTCAATCAGTAATATGAGATGTATTCACCCAATTTCGTTTCGGGTGATGAAAGACTGAGTGAATATATCTCATATTACTGATTTACTCGTAGTCACAAAAACAATACTTAATTTGAAAAATAAAGTATAGTAGTCGATTGTTATAGCAGATATACTTTTACTTCATCGACAATCCCACCAAAAGAATATGATATGACAAAAAGGCCTGATCTTCCTTGAAATTCACTTATGCCCTGTGACTCAAGGTTACTCGTGGCAATGTGGTCGAGTGGTTAACGTCTCAAGCTCCCATCCTGTACTGCCGCGATTCGACTCCCGCTGAGGGCGTTGATAAGACCGATGCGAGGTCGAAACTGCAGTTCACTGGTGCCTGGATGAGAACAACTTTTGGGAAGGCAGGGCTATGTGAAATTCAATGGAAACGTCAGCTCAAATCATGTCATTGTGTGAAAATTTTTCTTCTACCAGTCTTTTATCACCTGAAACGAAATTGGGTGAATACATCTCATATTACTGATTTACTGATAGTCTCGAAACAATACTTAATTTCATCTTCTCTGTTTCGATTTATTTCACTGTTTATTTGCGTATTTGTGTAGGCATACATTTCTCTATGGATGCGTGTGTGCGTATATCTTTGTATGTCGTGTATCTTGTTGATTGGCAACTTGGTCGGAGCGACAGGGAGACCTGATGATGGGGCGAGGAGTGATATTACAAGGGTTTAACTGAAAGTTGACACTTGCTTATATTGTAATTCTATGCTGAAAATGGTGCATCTCACTGACGATGCCGGTGAAGCGCCTGACAATGTACCAGGTGAATAGTCCGATGTTCGAAATCATCATGAACACCACGACAGAGGACGCAGGACTAGATACCTTCCATAGGGTCTGCCTGTCGTTCCGGCCAAGATGATCGAACGAAGTCAACCCGAAGATATGAAGAAAGACTGGGTTTCGAAGAATTCCATAGTGATTTATTGTGATATGACTCTTCATTTCGAAGGGCAAATTGGTTGGGAGGAATTCGTGATGTGGTCTCACCGGAAACCGAAAGAGGATTGCCGAGTATGGAAGACGTGGGACATTGTGTGAACAAGGCCTCGGTTCACCGTCCTACCACCCCGATGAAACCGTGCTAAGCTTTCTTCTGTACCGTCATGACAGACATCATCAGAGTAGGTATCCATACTTCACGAAATAGAGCAAGAACGTGCTAAACATTCTATCTCGTTTTATTATATTTTTGCTCTATTTCGTAAAGAATGAATACCGGCTCTGATGAAGCTCAGCACAGTTTCATCGGGGTGGTAGGACGGTGAGCAGAGGAATTCTTCGCACAAATCATAAGTCTGCCGTAGGCGGCAATCCTCCTTTGGTTTCCGGTGAGACCACATTACGAATTCCTTCTAACCAATTTTCTCTTCGAATTGGAGAGTGGTGTCACTAAGTCAAACCAACATTATGCAGCTAAAGGAGACTACTACCAAACATAAGAGACATCTTCGTTTTCATATATACGGTAAAATGGAGACCATCAAAACGAAGATGGGGAAAAGCAGATATAGAAGCGAAATAATGACCTTTTATAAAGGCGTAGAAACAGCTTCCTCTCTTGACTATCCATGGTAAATCTCGTCTCTGCTGGGAGCCAGATTCGCTTCTACAGTCTAGGTTGTAGCGCCGTGATTATGTCATCTTCGATGCTACCTTTCACTTTGATGAATGTGTGGAGCCCTGTGGTATCGATAGTCTGAAGAAGAACCACAGCCTGGCCCCTCCACATGACTGATCGAGTGATGAGAGCCTCAAAAGGGTCGCTTAATGTCCCGATCACTGGCTGGAGAACACTCCTGAATTCCTTTGGAACCAAGTCATTCCGCTGTGGCTTTGGATCGTGACCTCAGAAAACTCGCCAAATCTAATGATACGAGTCAATCTGCCGAAAGTCAGATATTCACAGCCTGGGCTTCTAAATCCGGGCATCGAAGTTTCCATCTCTTCCTTTTTCTTTTTCGCCCTATCCTTATGCCTGTGTTGCATCCAATCCCTCAATGAAGCGGCGGGAAACTGCTTTCCGATCCTAAATTAATGTTGCAATACAATTTGAAGGCACATGGCTTACTCGCACTGACTACAACTGAGATCTGTTTTCATTTTTATCTTTATCCGAATAACTTTCCATATGGTTTTTTGTGTGAGTATATCTTCGTATGTGGCTTCCTTTAAATTGTAGACTTGGGTTTCGGTCATGTCTGGATCATGTGAATTAGCCTTACAGCCTAAGACAAAATGGAAATGCAAGTAAGACAATAACTGCTGATGCTTAATTGATAGACATAAGGGCAGGTAGCGTTTTGGGCTACCTGGAAAAAGGAAGAGGCTCAACTAATCTTGTCCTGTGGTGATTCCAATTACGATCACATTTTCCATCTATCTGAAAACACACATGAAAGATTATCAATTTCGTTAAACGTGTGCCCAACATTATGCACTCAAAGTGCTAGTTACAAAAGATAAACCTTGAAATCCGAAGCCAGATGCTACGCCATGTTCCAATTACTCTAAGTTATCATCTCCAATATCGTACCTTTATGTGCTCAAGAGTGTATACAGGCAAAAAAACCTTCGAAAGCACAGGCTTTATGTTGGCGTATGATGTAAGCTAACCAAATCATTTCGTACTGCCTAAAAATGCATAGTTTAAGCTTATGCAACTAGCAGCGACAAGGAACTGAAGATGTCGTCTCTAGGACAGCATCAACAAGAACGTTTAACTATGACCATAGAACAGCTGGCCAACTGGAACCCCATGTTGTTCTCCTGTAGGATCGACCCCCAAATCTCTTTAGAACACACTCGCGTGCATAAAGACGCATTAGTCCGTTTTCGTCATACCTGAAAGATGGTACCTCTAGGACTATGTCTACCGGAGCGTCCCACTACATTTAACTAATAGCAGGCAAAAGAGAAGGCAACCGAAATGAAAGTCCAGTCGGCACTGATACACAAAACAATTCTTTGAAAACCAGTTTCTCTTTGGCCTGACGGAATTGGAGGGACCCAAGAAAAGCTCACCTCCCGAATGCTGTGTTTAGAGAAACCTTCAAGCAGAACGATTGGATGAGTTTTCACTGGATTCCGCGTCATCACGACCTCGTGCTTTTTTCGTGGGCAAGGGCGTATGTGGTATAAAGCCTTTCATGAGCTGCCATCATCAACCCACACTTGTTTGGAGGCAAATTAAAAAAAAACAGCTGAGATTTTTCGCTTATAAGTAGGGTTTCATAACTATGCGATTTATTCACCCTATTTCGTTTTAGATGATAAAGGATTGGTAGTTCACATTTCCAATTATCATATGCGTAGACCTTATGTGTCCATTGCATTTCATATGACGCTTCTATCCTGCTAGGCCGCACCAGCAACACATTGGCACTTGAACCCGGAATGTATAAATCCAGAGTATAACCATGGCACATTCATCCCTATACTACACTGACACGAGTGCCCTTGGATTGCAGAGCAGATGAATATTCCAAGGAAAATCATATATTTTCGCACATCACATTCTATAGTGGAATTATCGATAAAGCAGAGTTTTATTTCGTATAGCAATCGACTGCATTACTTATTTCTCGGCTATAA